GATACGACCCAGGCTGCGATCTGTCCCGAAACATGGCTGTCCCAATTTGAGACCGGCGCAACGGCAGGATCGGCTGTGACTTCTGCCCATCTTGACTTGATCATGATGATCGAAATGAGAGACAGTACCAACGCAGCGCCAGATATGAGGACGCTGACGGTTACCAAAGTCTTTCTTGCCCAACCTGATCGTTCTAGGGCTCCGCGGACGTTTCCCACATTGTGAAATATGTAGAAGCCGACACAGCAGAGAGAAACGACGTCGAAAGTGCTCGCTACAGCAGCGATGCTAACCAGGGAGGATTGAGACGAAGAAAGAGATGCCGTCTCCAAGATAGACAAGACGGTGTCGGCGGCTGTGCTTGACCATGCAACAACGCCAACAAGGGAAAGGTAGAATTTTCGAGATTGCAACATGATGGACGAGAGGCGTAAGGTTATTGGTCAGCTCAAACCCCGGCCTGAGTACTCTTGGTGGAAGGCGACAGTCAGCCTGGAGTACGTCGAGGTACCGATACAGACGGGATGTATGGTCGTATTATAGTACCAGGGGGTTCCAGGGGGGATTGTCGATAATTGGTTTTGGTTGAAGGCCACCGAAGAGGATGCTGCAGAGAAGTGGGTGAACTATCGGTTGAAATGCAAGATGGAGCCCCAGTATTGTTGCTGTGGAGAGACGCGAAACCGAACAGGCGCGAGTCGGACGCGTTGCAGGAAATAATGCGGCTGTATAGCTGCAGCTACTATAGTCGAGCAAGCCGTTACGGGGCGTGGCTGATGCGGGTCTAGTCCGGTTATAGTATGTACGGTATAGCTGGCCGATCTTCGGTGGAACGACTAAGGAATACGATGGGTTTTGTGAAGCGAGCGTTGTTCGACGATGAGTGACGAGTGGATGACGAGCGAGGGAGTGACGAAAAAGGGACTGGACAGCGGCGTGAAGACGGGAGAGCATGTGGGGAGGGACGAGTAGTAATAATAAATTTGGGTGAAGTCGAGAAGGCTGATGTGTGCCCATTGTTTCGTGGACTGGCCTGCAATACGCGTAGGACAAACGGGGAAACCCCTACTAGTCTGCTGGGATGCACGCAAGCATCATTCGAGCATGGCGCTGCACGACCTCAGCGCATGGGTACCGAGTCCTAAGGGCATGGCGATGCGACATTGGCACAGCAGAATGCAGTAGCACGGCCGCAGAGCTGAGAGTATGATGGCAAGCCTACGATTCAGCGTGGTGGCAGTAGGCCGGATGCGCTGGAATCTGATGCAAAAGAAGGAAAACAGTTTGTCTTTTCGAAACACGAGCCAAAGCGGCCAATCGCGAGCGAGACCGGGTCAGGCGTCGAGAGCCGGAAACAGCTCAAGGGCCTACCTGTCAAAGTTTATGGTGTGGAGCTGCGGTAAGTTTAGCCCTTCATTTCCTGACGCGTTGTTTTGACTATGCGTTCGGCAGACACAACAAACAACCTGGAGAGAACGCGATCGGACAATTTCCACGCCTGATGAGCTGTGGATACTCGCTCGATCTGCCACGGCTGGTAAGCGCTGGCGAGGCATTACGGAGGTGCGACCGACGATAGTGCCCTCGTGCAGTGCGGAGAGCACAGCATATCAATAGGCGACAGTCACACAGTCGGCGTGTCCTAGCCAGAGTTTGGCAAGGCGGTGAAACGGTCTCGTCGCCTCATGGCCAGCGACTCATGGCGGTTCTAGGGCGGGGATTGAAACAAAGGGCCGAGCGATGAGCAGCAACCGGCTGGGCGACGACGATGACAGCACCTGCAACCTTGTCAAGATTTTGGAGTTGGCGATGCGCGGCATGTGGAAGCGTGCCGTGTGTCGATGCGATGTCAGCACACTAGCCGGGGAGGAGATGAAGCTGCGGCTGGGCGATCTGCTGTTGCGTCACTGGCCGTGTTCTGGCCGTTGGGGCCCTGCAACCGATATTCGAGCCCTGAGCTGGATGTCAGCAGCCGCGTAAAAAGTAAACTCTCGCGGCCAGTAACACCTGGTATGTGTGGTGGGTACATCAATACCGAGGAATAGGTCTAGGGGTCTCTTTTGCGCCCAGGATTAGCGATCAGGATTCACGATCAACGATGCAGGAGGCGCCTGGACAGTGAAGCCTGGAGGTGCGCCACATGTGGCGTCGGTTTGGCAGAGCTGTGGCGTACAGCTCCAGTGTCAGTGTGAGTGGCAGTGTCAAGTGGTAATGTGTACCAGTTGACTGTGGTTGACGACAGCCTAACCTAGTGCACCGTGTTTCCACGACCTTCTGAGCAAACGACGCTCGCTTTGTGAGAATAAAGGCTGCAATCGAATTCACATTGCTCCTGCTTCTACTTTTACCTTCCTTCTCACTACGCGGTACTACTAAACCCCGCCAAGAACTGCCTCATCATCCCCACTACCTCACCTCCAACACCGACTCCGACACCCCGCCCACCCAGCTCCATCTTCAACCACGCACCCAGCAACCGCCAAGATGAAGATCACATTCAAGGTAGACACCGACTGCCTCGTTCAACACACTACAGTCTGCTAACCTCTGCAGGACCTCAAGCAAAACAAGTTCGTCATCGAGGCCGAGCCTTCGGAAACGGTGCGCAGACCCGCCACATCCAGAAAATTATCGCGACCGCCCTGCTGACAGACACACTAGATTGGCACCCTCAAGTCCAAGATCCAGGCCGAGAAGGGCTGGGAAGTTCCCCAGCAGAAGCTCATCTACTCCGGTAAGCTGCTGAGGTGACATGGCTGCTCAGCACAGTCGCTGACACAAGACAATAGGCAAGATCCTGCAAGATGCCAACACAGTCGAGTCGTACAACATCGAGGAGAAGGGCTTCATCGTCTGCATGGTCTCCAAGCCAAAGGCCGCCGCCGCATCGTCAAGTAAAGCAGCGCCCTCAACGCCCGCTCCCGCAGCAGCCCAGACGCCCGCAGCTCCTGCCGCGCCCGCACCTTCATCCAACACACAAAACGCCCCCGCTACACCTTCTCCTGCGCCAGCCCAGGCATCAGGCGAGCGCTTCAATGACCCCTCGGCTCTGACTATGGGTGGAGAGCGCGAGGCCGCTATTGCCAACATGGAGAGCATGGGTTTCGCACGCGCTGATATTGACCGGGCCATGCGCGCCGCCTACTTCAACCCCGACCGCGCGGTTGAATATCTTCTGACGGTAGGACAAGTGACCATTCTGGCCCCGACACACGTGCTGACATCATTCTAGGGTATTCCGGAGAGCGCGCTCCAAGAGCAACAGCAACAAGCACAAGCCCGTGCCCCGACCTCTCCCACGCCCGCTGCTGGCGGCGACACAGGTGCGACACCTGCGCCTGCCGGAAACGCACCATCCGGGGGTGACGAGCCGATGAACCTCTTCGAGGCCGCTGCCCAGGCTGCTCAAAATCGTGGAGGTGCTGGCGGTGCCCGCTCCGGTGGTACTGGCGGCGGTGCTGCGGCCGGTGCGCTCAACGCCAATTCTCTCGAGTTCCTGCGCAACAACCCACAGTTCCAGCAGCTACGACAGGTTGTACAGCAGCAGCCACAAATGCTTGAGCCCATCCTACAACAGGTCGGCGCGGGTAACCCTCAATTGGCGCAGATGATCGCAAACAATCCAGAGCAGTTCCTGCAGCTCCTGGCCGAGGACGCAGACGAGGACGCGCCGCTGCCACCCGGTGCTCAGGCCATCTCTGTAACTGAGGAGGAGCGCGAGGCTATCGAGCGCCTGTGTCGCCTTGGGTTCGAGCGCGATCTCGTTATCCAAGCATACTTTGCATGCGACAAGAACGAGGAGCTGGCCGCGAACTTCCTGTTTGACCAACCCGACGATGCCGACGACCAGTAGAGGGACCTCGAGTTCTGTGCGATCACTGTGCGACCTTACCATACCCGATGTCGACCCTTCTCCGGCTGATATCACCGTTACAATCGCACGACAACCATCCCGAAATTGGACGAATACTATCTCGAGTCCACTCCCATCACACGGCTCAGTGCAGTTACTTGGGAATACGGAAAGGAACATTCCGACTAGTCCCACTGCTTACCATGACGATAACATGATACCTTCCGCATGCGGCACGCGTAGGAGCTGGACCTGCTGGTTTCTGGGTAGTAGATGGACCGGCGTATGCCTGCTGGGCGAAAGTAATAGCTCATCAATAAATCACCACCCCATTCCACGTTATTGAATTGCAACATGACATGTAGTATACCGCCGAACTGACATGCCATTGACTAGTTGACTGGATACCGTACCCCAACACTACCATTACTCACGTTCTACCCGAAAACGCACCGGCACCCCGAAACGGTGAACCGCAAAGATAAAATAGAAAAAAGCTACACAGAACCCTGGCTCCAAGCTGTTCCGAGAAAGATATACCAAGGTGAAGGGGGGAAAGGAAAAGCACAGCCTCACTCGTCTGACCCACCCCTTTGTTTCTTGGATCCTCCAAAAGAAAAAAACGACGTCTATGCCATCTACCCAGACCCCACGTTCACGATATCTCCTTTTCTTTTCGCGGTCAAAACTGCCGCGTCGGTCTGCGACCCGCGAGAGTTGTTTTTAGCTGTTGGCGTTGTCGTTATGTGTAGCATGGTAGTTATTTTTGCATTCCCCTGACGGCCCGCTCCCTTGCGTTGATCGTTCTGGATCCCGCTTCCGCATTCTTATCTAGGGTCTACATCCGCTTGGTCGGTTTTATCTTTGTTGCTTTTCACCGTATAGATGCTGGTGATGTGCTGTGACGCGACTTGTGGTGGCGAAGGGATGGGTGATGCTGGCTGGCTGGCTGCATGAAGGGATCGTGAGTTTGTAATCAGGGGGTGTTGGAGGGTTGTTGTAGGTGTGGTGTGGTGGAACAGTTCTAGAGAATCACAGGTGGTCGATCAGAGTAGTAAAGAGGTAGATGTGAAGACATGGCTGAATAAACGACTCAAAAGGTATCAATTCCGCAGAACGGTGGTATACAAGTAAACTAGAGAACTGATCACGCTTCGACGGCAGTAGCCTTCCTCTTGCGACTCCTCTTCTTCTTTTTCTTCTCGCCTTCGACAATGTTGCTGTCGTTATTACTGTCGTTACGATTGTCGCGCCTAGGTGCCGCAACCTCTTCTTCGCCAAGCAGAGTCTCGAATCCACCCTTTGGTCCGTCAGGGTTGCCAAAAGTGTCTTGCCTCCACTGCCTGATGCGAGCCTTCTTGCTGAGGAACTTCTTGTCCTTCTTCTTCTTGATGGGATCTCTGAACGCGGCCAGTTTCTTCAGGCCCGCGAAGTCGTTCAGGGCTTTGTCGTCCGCAAGCAAAATATCGCGCGCAGTCAGACCGAAGCTTGTGGGAGATGTCTCGCGGTAGCGGAAGCGGGAGGCGGCTTTGGAGGGCTTGGCAGCGAGAGCGGCTTCGTATTCGAGGTTCTGGTTGACGAGGTTTTCTATGAGGCGGCGATCGCGACGTGCGGTGGATTTGGCTTCGGCGCGTTCTTGTTTGCGCTGCTTGGAGGACTTCTTGGAGGATGCACCAACTTCTTCGTCATCGTCCTCTGCTTCAGCGTCGGGCATTTCCTCGTCGGATGAGAGGTCGGGTCGCTCTTCTTCGGAGTCGTCCTTGAAGTCAGGCACGAGATCCTTGATATCGATATCATCGTCGAACTTTGGCTTCTTAGGCTTCTTGCTCTTCTTGCCGCCTTCTTCCTCATCCTCGACAGTGTCTCCGTAGTAGGCATCACCGAAGCGCTTCTGCATTTCGGCGTCCCATTGCTCATCTGACCAGTCGGCTTCCAACACCTCCTTCCACTCGTCAATGTTGAAGTCTCTGCCGCTCAGACCTCCGATCTTGCGGATCTGCTTGACCTTGCTCTCCATGTCTTCCACCTTGAGCTTTCGGAGACGTGCAAGCTCCTGCTCCTTCTCTCGTCTCTCGGCTTCTCTCTTCTGTCTCGCCTGTTCACGGGCCTTGCGTCGGCCGCTCTTGTCGTCTCGGCGGACCGTAGTGCTTGCGACAGCATCACGCGCATATGTCATGATCTTCTCGTTCGCACCCGTTGTATCCTCAAAGTATAGGTTGTACGAGTTTTCCCACTCGTCTGCCGCGGCGTCTTCGTCTTCGTCATCGGACAGGAGGGGCTGGAAGCGAGCAGATTGTGTGGGCACCCAGGCGCGAGATGCCATGAAGTTGGACAGGAAAGTCTCGGGGTCCTGGTCGGCCTTCTCAACGTCCTCGGCGGTAATCTTGGGTTTGTCGCTCTTGGACTTCTGAGGCTTCTCCTTTGCAACGATGAAGTCGTCGTCTTCCTCCTCATCGGCATCCTTGAGCGCCTTGACGAGATCCTGCCTAGCGTCTTCCTGTTCCTGCGCATATGTCTTCGGCGGCGCATCCTCGTCATCGTCTTCGCCCGTGTACTTTCCCTCGAGCAAATTCTTGGTGTGGTAGTCGCGCAGTGTCATGGATGGCTCCTTCTTCTTCTCGTCTGTGCCATTTTCGCCCTCTTCGAGTTCGCGGTAGAACTTGACTTCCTTGTTGTAGATGCGAGGGTCCTTTGCGCGTAGAGCCTGGAGGGTGGCATTGACCTGTTCGTCGAGATCTTCGTCGAGTAGCTCGGCTGCATCGTCTTCCTCCACGCCCTCTTCGGAGTCTTCCGACTCGTCGCCGCCGTTTTGGAACGCCTTGTCCTTGCCGTACTTTTCCTCTACTGCACAAAGTTAGCACTGAAGGTGACTATGCCCTGACTAAGCCTACATCGGAACTGCTCGGCGCGCTTCTTGTTGTGCTCGAACTTGCGGGCGTATTCCTCGTTGACCTTGAGCGAGACTCCGCCGCCGTCGCTGTCAGAGCCTTCATCGTCGGTGTTGTCGAGCAACTTGGCCTTTTTCGCGGGGGGCTCGTTGGCGGCGTTCAGATCGCGCTTGACGCCGCTGCTGCGCTTCTTCTCCTTGGTGCCTGCCATGGTGGATGTTGTGGATGTCGAGGTTGTGCAGGAGCGTCTCGCGCCGGGCCTTCACAAAATTTTGGTGGAGTAGGCGCTAGCGCGTGAACTGACGTTCGCCGCGGCGGTGACGATGGACCCGCCGCAACACCAATCGAGCGGTGCATGGGCGAGGAGGTGCACCACGCGACACGCCCACCCACGCCGCCGAACATGTATAATAGCCTGCCTGTCTTGTCTCTTTCTGCTTGCTTCTAAGATACCCATTCCTATAGCGTCTGTCCGCAAGAGTCGGCAGCATGGCGGAGGAGAAGCCGCCGCAGCTCAGCATAGAGCCCGTGTCACGGCCGCTGGATCTGATGTAGGCCGAGACGATGTGACCGAGTACACGGGCATGCTGACAATTGCATACAGACCCGTCGTCATCAAAGAAGCCGCCCTCGACTCGCCCACCTTCCGCGCGACTGCCGTCCACTACGGCGACCAGATCGAACTGATAGAGCGATGGCTTCACTCCTTCATCAGCGCAACCTCGACGCTCGCCGCAGAGTGCAACAAGATGCAGGGGCTCGTGGACACGTACATACAGACCTCGCACCCGCCGCTGCAGCTCTCCGAAGCCGTCGTCGACCACGACTACACCGTCCTGGCCCTGAAGCGGTTCGGCGAGGGCGCCCGCGAGTTCTGGAACGGCACGCTGCGCAGCATGAAGAGGGCCGAGGCGACCATGTGCGAACCCATGCGGGCCTTTGTGTCCAACGACCTGCGCATGCTGAAGGAGGCGCGCAAGAACCTCGACTCGACACAGCGTACCTTTGATGGAGCCATTGCGCGGTACGCGGGCCAGATCAAGACAAAGGAGGCGTCCTCGCTTAGAGAAGACGCCTTCCAATTGCACGAGGCGCGACGGGCATACCTCCAGGCCAGCATGAACTTCTGCGTCTTGGCACCCCAAGTGCGCCTGACACTGGACAAGATACTCGTCAAGGTGGTCAACGAGCAGTGGCGCGACATGAAGGCGGCAACAGATGCGTCCAACAAGGGCTTCAACATGTGGACCTCCGACGTCGAGCGCGTGCGGGGCTGGAGCAAGGAGATGGAGAACGGCGAGCGCGTCTTCAAGAGGGAGCTCCATCTAGCACGCCAGCAGATCGAGGGCGCCGCCGAAGTCAGCGCAAGACCATCGCGAGAGCTGGACACCTACGCCGCTTCGACCGTTCCATACCTTGGCGCCGCGCCTTCGTCCGCGAACCTACAATCCCCGGCGAAGCCTGAGTTTGGCAGCGACAAGGCGGAAAAGCAGGGCTGGCTGTTCCAGCGCACAATCACCGGTAAGCCGGCCAGGACCTACTGGGTCAGGCGCTGGTTCTTCGTCAAGAACGGCATCTTCGGCTGGCTGACACAGGGCACGCGGTCCGGCGCCGTGGAAGAATCAGAGAAGATCGGTGTCCTGCTCTGCGGTATTCGACCAGCCTTTGCTGAAGAGCGACGCTTCTGTTTCGAAGTAAAGACGAAGGACACTACTATCCTTCTCCAGGCCGAGACGCAGAACGACATCACGGAGTGGATCTCTTCCTTTGAGGTCGCCAAGCGCAAGGCACTGGAAGATACATCCAAGGACCTGTCGGGAGCTGCTTCTGTCGATGCCGCCTTCTCTATAAGCCCTCCTGTGGCCCCTGAGTTCGCTGCAAAGACCTCCGAGGGACAAGCCGGCCAGCCTGGTGAAGACACCGTCAGCATGGACCGTACCGAATCGCTCGGCGTTCCTGGTGCTGATAGCAATGCGACACGCGGTAGCTTCGATGTGTCGGCTCGACGTGGCACAACAACTGAAGGCGATAGCAGCCGCCGTGATCACACTGCCAGAATCATGGAGAAGCTCGACTTGACAAGGAAATCAACAGTAAGCCCTCAGCTGAGTGGAAGCAACCCCTCTTCCGCCAGCGGTGGCATTGCTAGTCTTATCTCCGCTAGTCTTGCTTCAGCTAGTCATAACATTGTACAGGTCGGACAGATCGCCGCGCCTGCACCTGGCCTCCCTGATACTCGGCTTGTCATGGGCCAGACACTTCCATATACCAGTCTTGCGCCTTCCACCCTTGCGAGCCCGCCGGCTCCCACCAACCTTAGCAAAGCCGCTGTCGCTGTAAGCGGAGAGCGAGGTCTCGGGACAGGTCGCTCAGGTAACATGCCTGGTGGGCTCATGGCTAACCTCTGGGGCTCGGTCAACTGGGGATATGTCAACGTCCTTGGGCGCGAAGATGAGACCAACACGCGCGACCGCAGTCAATCTGGACCTCCGAGTCCTATAAACCCATCTCCTGTCCTTGGACCCAGCGATGAGAAGAATGGAACACCTCCTGTTCCTACTGGTGCTGTTCATCGCAAGTCGAGCAGTATGGGCGGACCCATTCCGATACTCACCAAGACCAACCATGACGAGGTCGACTTCCCAAATTACTACCCTCTCGCTCTCCGGATGCAAGACGCTCAGTTCCGGATACTGTTCCCTACAGTGCCACGCTCGGAGAAAGTCGTGCTGGTGTTCCGAGCCGTATGGAATCCGACAGATCAACAAGAGTTCCCCGGGCGCGTGTACGTCACAACTAAGAACATATACTTCTACAGCAATCACCTGGGTCTTGTACTTATCACGGGAATAAGCATGTCTTCTATCGATGAAGTCACTGCTGCTCCCGGCAAGGACTGCGACTTTCTTTTCCTCCATTTCAAGTCAGGCGCAAGGGAGGATGGCGCTACTAGGCTCACTGTGAAGACGTTCCTCGAGCCTCTGAAATTGCTCTTGCGTCGACTGAATTTCCTCGTACGCAATACTGCCTCTGGAGAGCACAACCTCGAAGAAACGATGAAGAGAATGATCAGGATGGAGACGGATGAAAGCCTCAATGCCCCTGGTGAGGAGGGTTGGGAGGAAATCTCTCCAGACACGCCTGTTGATACAGGCTATGGCGGGAAGAACATCAAGACCAGCCTGCGCATTGATGGTAATCTGTTTGGACCATCCGGCGCAAGTGCCGCAAAGAACGCAACCAAGTTCAAACTACCGTCGCAAGCTGTAGTCTTTGCTCCAGCTGGCATGACGCAAGTTGCCGTGGAGAAGGAGTACGATATCAGCGCAAAAGGCCTATTTCATATACTCTTCGGTGACAAGAGTGCGGTGTTCCAGCTACTATATCGGGAACGGAGAGCGTCCCGCATCGTCCAAGGGCCGTGGATCACGAGCGAAAAAAACCTTCAACGACGAGATTTCGAGTACGAAATTGCACAGCCTGGTAAGAACGGAGCTGTTGTCATAAACGACTACCAGGTCATCGAAGTCCTCAACGACCATCTTTGTTACGTGGTCTCAGATCGCAAGACACCCTGGTACCTGCCAGGCCACGATCGATTCGTACTTCTTAGCAAAACAGTCATCACACATGTCTCAAAAGCACGATGTAAGCTTGCTATCCACACAAAGGTGGACTGGAAGCGCAACCCACGTTTTGCGAGGAAACTCATCGAACGCCAAGCCCTGCAAGACCTGGAGCTTGAGGCGCAAGATCTTGTTGATGTCGTCAATGATCAAGTCGCCAGGCTCGGCCACAACAGAAGCACGAACAAGGTCACAAGTATCTTTGGCCAGATCGGCGCCCAAACACAAGCTGTACAGCTCGACGCGCAGGACATACCACCGCCGAACCGACCTCGGAAGTTCAAATTACGCCCGCAGACGACCGCATCTTTTGTCGCGCAATACATAGGGAACATCATTATAAGTGTGGTGTCAACAGTCATGAGCTGGATATTGGCGATCGTAGCCGGTCTTGGCAAAGTTATCTCAGCACACTCATTGCTCTTTGGCCTTTTGCTAGTCAGCGGTGGAGCCAACTTCTTCTATACTTCCAGGGACAGTTGGAGCTGGTGGCACGAGCGAAATGCCGCTAATTACATGTCGCGATTGGGTGTCAAGCCATCAACTACGATGACCCGCTCGATCTACATTCGCGATATCGAGGAGTCGTTCTTGAACCGGAACAACACCAATCTTGAGCTTTCAGTGCCAGTCGCGGCGAGCACTGATAACAAATGGTATGCTTCTTCACCTAGAGATGCCAACTCAGCTAACTGTATACAGCCACCAGACGTTCACAACCCTCCTCCACGATCCCTCATCTACCGTCTCCACCCAGTCTTTCTTCAAACCCTCTACGCATAGCACACAGCGCCTCCACCGCACGCGACAGAGCCTTGGCTCGCATCGTCATGATTTACTCGTTGCTTTACGCGTAGTCAATCGCATTGAGAAGGAAGTGGTGGAAGCGGAATACGAGAACTGGCTGCTGGATGAGACACATAAATGTAGCAAGGTTGGAAAGCTCCTAGAAAGCGCAGCGAAGAAGGGCAAAGAGAAGCAGGTAGAGGATTGGGTCAAAGGGTACTGTGGGGACTGTCAAAGGAGTTTGCAGGTGGTTGAGGAGAGCCGGAAGGGTCTGGTATGAGCCCTACTTCGGTTAGCCACTGAGCACAAGAATATGTAATGGGACAGTCGAATGGGGAACCTGGTAATGCTATCGCACAAGCGACGAACCGAACCTAACTTTATCGAATTTAATAACGAAATAGACCCTCAATTCCGTAATTCAGGGCGACCTCGGCGCTCCTGACTCCGTACCTTGGGTCTCTGCTACACTTACCTTGATCATCACTTATTTTACTATCCGGCCCGCTCTCACCCTCACACTCACATAAGACTGTAAGTTTTGTGCGCGCAGATCTACTCAGCTCACACTGCTAACCTGTTTAGCTGGACAACCGCAGCCATGTCTAAACTCGAGTCCGGAATGTCGTGTACGCTGAAAAATGATACCATTACGGTAAATGACGACCTCAAGATCTCCTTCCGACGCACAGTCCGTGTGCCAGATATCTCCGAGTCGAACTACCTTCCCCCTAACCTCGGCGCCTTCCCACTCGAAGCGGTGTCACGGCACAGCGCCAAACTGCCCAAGGCGATGATC